ATTGACTAGCGATTATTATGTTAGTTCAAAAGAAAAGTGTACCGAAAGTTACTATTATCCGCAGTAAATTCGGATTTTATAAAAATTTTCGTAATTTATGTAATTTTTGCAGTTTTTGTAAATCAACTTTTCACGTATATAATTTGTAATTTAAACACATGACATATGGCTTCTATGATCAAATTTTCGGTGATTTGAAGAGTTAATTCAATTCAAATGATACAATAATGCTGGCCAAACTTTTGTAAAGCCGGTACTTTACATGAAATTTGATTTACTGATTTTACGTAAAAATACATGTATTGTGTAAGATTGGAACTTTCGCAACACAACCCTAGGTACATACGTACGTACGTACCCTTATGTCAAGAAAACTCCGGGCTGAAGATCACTTCCGACCTAAAGATGCTGGTGAAATTAAATTAGAATGGTGAAATAATTTCACCATTATTGGTTGAATTGGTGAAATTTGACAAAATTAATTTTACCTGCATCTCTATTCCGGCTTTGAAATTATTGATCTGAATCCAATAAATCATAAATAACAAAAATTTGCTATGACAACTTCCGACCTCTAAGTTTTCAGCATGAAATTTTAGTTGTAGGATACAATTTTTAAGCATATAGGGAATTTTTAATATACTATCGCTATAGACCTATATTTTTGGGTCGGCATTATACCCATCGGCTAAGCCGGTTAAAAATTTAGCGCCGTAAAATTTAATCAGCTTTGAAGCACTAGAATTGCATTGCTTAACGTAACACAAATTAAACCTTCATAAGCATTAACTCCTTTTTTCTCGTTAGTCAATCCCTTATATAAAACTACACATCCAAAAAAAAAATATGACAAGAGCAACGGAATCGGCATTTTTTTTCAGCATAATCTCTATAATATATCTTATATGCTTTTTTGGGATAATTCCATTGCCACAAATTATTCAAGAAGAAATCTTACCAGTGGTTAGTTTTTTTTATCATTCATTATAAAATTGTTTATAATAAGTTTTCTTTTTTAAAAAAAAAATTTATTAAAAAGCTACCTTGGTGGGCTCTTATATCTTTTGGCTCATACTCGCTTGGGAGTATTGGATATCACTTATATAGATTCAGAAATTGTGATGATGCTTACCATGAATTGATGGAGGTAATTTCTTGGTCTTTATTCTATTGTTTAAAATTATAATTTAATACAAAT